GAAACAATCAAGAGACAAAATGAGTGAAGTTTTCAGTCTACATTCACAATAAGGCATAGACGGAAAGCGATTAGCATTTGAAAATGAGAAAAAGAGACAAGAATTAGAGAAGAAGATGCGCCTATTAAAACAGGAAGAATTAGTGAAAAGTTTTAAATTGTTAGAGCTAGAGCGCCAATTGGGAGAAGCTGAAAGCAGCCGATCGAAATAAAGAGCTCAAGTACCACCGATAAAGCAGAAGAAACGAAATAACGAGTGTATCAATGGATATGAAACCACCCAGAAGAATGCATACATGAAGAAGCAAGAGGTAGAGATGATAGACAGTGAAGTTAAATTACTTCGTGAAACTATTTCGAATGCCATCAACAGTTTCAAATCCGACCTTTGTTTCACAAACACTTCAAAAATATTTGCAATCTATGTGACTTCAGTAATGAAGAAATTATGCTTAAACTTTAGAAATGTTTGAAAGGGGAAGCCAAATCCGCGGTAGCTGGGATGATGCTCACAGCAGATAATGTGAATTTGGTTATACAAACCCTTGAATTACGAATTTATTATCGATGATCTAATATCCAAAGTAAGAGTTCTTTCCGATCTGAAAGATTCAAATTTTGAGAAACTCATACAATTCTCCAGTGAAATAAACAATAATGTTGGTTGCAATAATGAAAACTGTCAAATCTCCAGGACATCTTCAGAATCCACAGCTACTGAAAGACCTGATCAGAAAGTTACCTAGTTATTTGAAGCTGAAGGAAATGAAAAGTTGGATTTGGAAGATTTTGCCAAATGGGTGGGAGAAGTTGCAAGAGCTGCCTGCTATGTTAGTACTCCTTCAGTTTCTAAAAGATTTGACCAAACATATTTTTCGAAAAAGCCTGAAAAAGTACTTTTTTTCAAAGAGAGCTTTCAAGAGAAGACATGTTTTTATTGCAACGAAAAAGCTCATGTCCATGGAAAACGATGACGTCGATAAACGGTGGAAAATCGTTACGGAAAACAAGCTGTGCTTTTCGTGTTTAAAGAACAATCATCATAAGTTCAAATGCAGGACAAGGAAACCTTGTGAAGTCAATGGCTGTAAACTATTCCACCATCGACTACTACATAGAAATATTGCGCAAACCTTTCATTGCCCTAGTGAACGAGACAAAGCAAATCCAGAAACAGTCTATACACTGAGATCCAGCGAGAAAAAAATGCAGTTGAGAGTACTCACTGTGTTGATACATGATAAAGAAGGATCAATAGAGGTATTGGTATTATGTGATGAGGCATCAACAGTAACTTTACTTGATGAAAAGATTGCTAAACAACTTGGAATAACCGGCTTCACAGAACCCTTGTGTTTACAATGGACTAATGATGAGGGTCATGGCAAAACGAATCAATGAAAATTGACCTGAAAATATCAAAGAGAGATGACCAGAAAAATATTTTCATAATGAAAGGAGTTAGAACAGTAAACAATCTGTCGCTGCCTTCACAAAACGTCAAGATGACAGAAATGTCAAAATCTACCAATAAAAGATATTCGCAATGAAAAACCTGTTCTCCTTCTCCTGATTGGACAGGACAACATCGATCTTATCGTTGCTCGGCAGATACGGTGTGGTCCAGAAAATTCTCCTTTGGCAAGTAAATGCAAATTAGGATGGGCTGTTCATGGTGTGAGCAATTCTAAGGTTGGAATGGCTGAAAAATCTCATCATACCTTGCATATTTGCGAATCAGATCAAGATGAAAATTTGCAAGAAATGGTAAGAAAGTCACTTTCTACTGAAAGCTTCGGAGCACTGCTCACGCCAGATAGACTGAGTCGAAAAAATGTAAGAGCACTCAAGATCATGCAGCAAACCACCAAACGATGTGGAGATGGTACGAAATTAGTCTGTTGTGGCGAACTGACAATGTCGTTATACCTGAAACTAAAATACAAGCATTACAGAGATTGAAATGTATCGAAAGGAAATGTCGAAATATTACAAAATTTGGCGAAGAATACTGTGAGAAACTACGATTATATGAAGAAAAAGGATATATACGAAAACTCACCAGAGAAGAAGCAAAAGTCGAAATTCCACGAACATGTTATATTCCACATTTCGCTGTCGAGAACACTAATAAGAACAAAATTCGTCTTGTATTTGATGCAGCTTCAAAGTCACATGGCGTAAGCTTGAATGACCATCTCGCCGGTCCTGATTTGCTACAGTCTTTAGTAGCAATACTTTTTAAATTCTGACGAAGTCTCGGATTTTGTGGAGACATAAAGGAGATGTTTCATCAAATAAGAGTACATGAGAAAGACAGAAATTCACAAAGATTTTTGTGGCGAGATTTGAAATATAACAGGGAACCTGACACCTATGAAATGATGGTTATGACCTTTGGAGCCACCTGTTCACCAGTATGGTAGTTTTCGAACTTTGAAAACCGAACTGAAGGCTAGATAGCACATTATTCATCGATAAGAAGGACATTAGTCTTTTTCTCACTAATCTTTCAATCATTTTTTAAAGGGTCAATAATAAAGAAATGGGCCTGAAATTTGAGGGGTCTTCCAAATCTCCGCCCTTATGTAATGGAATAACCATAGCTGTTTTCAAACATGTAATGCACTTAGAGGTAGATTTTCAAATATTTTTACAGACATTCCATCCATACCAGCCGAATTTTTATTTTTGATTCACATGAGTTACATGCATTTTTATATTAAATGATAAAAATAGATTAGTCAAAGCAAATGTCACTGCTGATTCCTTATCTTCAAAGTTAATATTCAGGTCACCAGCTACAAAGATATGTGCTGAATGGGTATATGTGCCCAATTTGTTAAAAATTACCACGCTGAGAACTTTTCGACAGATCCACGTATACGAGAAGCTATAACGAAGAAGTTTTGTGTGGATGATTATTTGGATTCTACGAATTCTGAAGAAGCTGTCCAAGCCATTTGTAAGGTAATTAAATCTGGAGGATTTGATGTGGTAAATTGGATGACTAACTCGAGAGCCCTGAAAGAATTTACATCAGAGTCTTCATCTGGAATTAAGCAGATAGATGATCATTCTTCGCTCCACAGAGTTATTAGTTTATGGTGGGACACAAATAAAGACCAATTCTGCTTCAAGGTGAACTTGAAAGACAAAAATTCTGAAAGAAACCCGACAAAAAGATTTGTTCTCCGCACAATAATGAGTATATATGATCCACTCGGTCTGATTTCAAGTTTCACGATCAAGCCAAAAATTTTAATACAAGAGGTCTGGCGTTGTGGAATCATATAACCATATAACAATCTCAAAAAAGTGGTTGAATGAACTACCCAAACTTAAAGGTATTACAATAACTACGATGTTACAGTTTACTCATTCCAAATGCCTCAAAAATAGAACTTCACACTTTCTGCGACAGCAGTGAGAAAGCATTTGCAGCAGTTTCTTTTCTTGGGGTAATTGGAGGATCTGGAGAGGTAGATGTATCACTGGTGTCATCAAAAAAACACGTGGCACCTCTAAAACCTTTGTCAGTTCCAAGATTAGAGCTGCAATCGGCTGTTATGGCAGACTGGCACATTCAATACGATCGGAATTGGACATACCTATATAACTCAATTGGATTTTTTGTCAGACTCCAGATGTGTTATTTATCGGATCAGGAGTGACGGCAGAAAATTCAAAAATCTATCAAAGTTAATGGTATTGTTATACTAATTGATAACACTCTACCGAGGTAAGCATGGAAGTTGGGGCGCAACTGCAACTTACCCAGGTCCTGATATCAGAGTACATGTCGTAGATGTGAAAACTTCAAATGCCGAATACAGGCGACCAGTGACAAAAATTTGTTTATTGGATCTAGAGGAAAAATAGTTCCTCTAGCAGCGGGGAGTATGTTGAAACTTGTTATTCAGATTTTCTTGTTATTCAATTTGTTGCTTGTTTTTATATTTATTTGCTCACCATATAGTTGTTGATAAAAAAGAGGGAGACTGTCAGAAATTATTTTGGAAAAGTCATTAAAATTTTGTTAGACTGAAAATACAGTTTTATTGGCGATTCCTGAAAGGAAAAATAACTAGAGTCTTAACACAATCAATATTAAATTTTCTTTTATTTCTTAGTAAATATTTCATCAACATTCAGATTATTTTATACCTAATCACTATCATCAGCTTCACTTGAAGGGGGTGTGTCTTCAATTTCTTCTTCTTCTTCTATATCTTCATCTTCAGAGTCTTTCTTTTTTGTTTTAGATTTTTCTTCCTTGGCCTCTGATCCCTTCTTTTTAGATTCCTGTGTTTTTTTCTCATCGCCCTGACCATCAGATTTATCTTTTTTCAATTCATCATCTTCACTATCAGAACTTTTTTTAGATTTTTTCTTTTCTTTTTCATCATCACTTTCCTTCTTCCTCTTATTTACCTTTTTCTTTGTATCTCCATCGGAATCACTATCAGAATCTTCAATAAATTCTTTACTCTTAATTTTAGCTTCGTTAGCTTTTGGTGACGGAGCTCTTTTTGACTGAGGCTTTTTCTCTGAGGATTTTTTTTCTGAAGATTTTTTATTGGAACTACTGCTACCACCACCTGAAGCTTTATATTCATCCATCGCTTTATCATACCTTTCCTTGTCCTTTTTGGCCTTTGCTTCCCATTCAGACTTATCTTTGAGTTCCCTCCATATTTCTCCTGCTTTCTTTGCGATTTCTGTCACCTTCAACCCTGGATTATCTTTTTTTATTTTTTCTCTGGCATCATTCAACCAAAGCATGAAAGCTGTTGTGGCCCTTTTAGGTTTGTTCTCATCAACGTTTTTCTTTTCACGTTTTTTCCTGGGTTTTTCAGAAACAGTTTTCGTTTTTTTCTTTTCTTTCTTTTCTTTTTTTTCTTTTTTCCCGCTGTCTGAAATCATACAATAGTCAGTTAATATATTATTAATTTCAAATGTAAGAATATAAATTGATAAAACAATATCCAAAGATGAATTTATTTACGAAACCTAATATAAATATAGCTATTAGTAGTTATGACAAAATGGTTAAGGCTTTCGTGGCCGAGGTTTTCAGTATCACTTTTTTGTTTCGTCTTTGACAATACTAACTATACCAATACTACAAGGGTTGCCTTTTATGTTTCGTGATTTGGCATCTCTAGTGTTGCAATCTGGCAACTGACAGATCTATCGTAAAGTTGGACGCGCGCTGTTTGTGTTGTTTGCAGTAACTTGAAAAATTCATCTCGACCCAAAAATAGAATTAAATCGTGAACATTTTCGTGCGATTATTCTTAACAACTTTCGACGTGGATTAACTCAGCAAGCAAGATCGTCATGTCACCTATCGTGAGATTGAGACAACCTTAGGCATTAGTGGGACCAGCATACATTCAATATTGCATAAAAATTTGACTGTCAAAAAAATCTGTTCGCGTTGGATCCCACACAATTTGTCAATCACTCAAAAAAAGGCTTGTGTCGATTGGTCGAAGGAAATGCTCAAAAAATACGATCGCGGTGCTTCAAAACTTGCATCATGTATTGATGGAATTATTAGTAAATGCTTCAGGGTGGTTACTTACATTTTATATGTATATATAAACTATACCCATTTAAACCAAACAAAGATAGATGCGTGATCAAAGCATGATTACCACGTACCCTTGCATTCGTTGGTTGGCAGAATTCATTGTTGAAGTGTCGGAGTGGTCGGTTATGTTTTAATGCCTGTGGTATGTACATATATGGTATTTTACAGTTAAAAATATTTAAAATGTCAAGTACTGATACGGCTGAAAAAACTGATTTGTGTCCTACACTCCAACTAAAATATTTTTCTATACCCATCCGCACATTATTAAAAAAATTCAGTCGTTTCTTAGTGAGACTCTGTACAAGCAGACTTGTCTGGGATATCACGTGCACTATGGATGATAATGTTTTGGAGCACTCTGTTGCTTAGATGAACAGAGTATAGTTTGGTTGATATTTTCTTCAATGAATTTTTGAATATTATTCTATATCTTTAAACTGATAAAAGAATACATTATCTAATTTAACTCCTAGAATAAACAAGACAGCTGAAAGTGAAAGATCTGATGAAAAGAGGAATTTCGAAAGTGTGTTTATGTGAAGTATCATAATATATTCCACAAAAGTTTTTTTGATCAGATGAAAAACAAGTTTTATGTAAATGATCATAAAGAGAAATGTTGTGGAATGGAAAGTGGTGAAATCAAATATGTTATTCAAATCTCCCTTATTTGCAATGTGCTATAAATTTAATCAAGAGTGTCACAAAGTAGACCTTTATTCAACACCATTGAATATATTAAAAAAAGAGATAAAAAAACATTATGTTTGTGAAGCAAAATACTCATTTGAATTTTTTTTTTCAATGAAGGTATTATTGTTACGATATATGTATATTTTCTATATTCAACACTTTTATCCCAAAACTGTATATTATGTTTGCATATTATTAAACACTTAGTTGGAATTTCTTATTTTTCCATTTTTTTTTCTTTTGAATATTCCATGACTGTATTACTATTACTGTAATCTGTTTTTTCCGTTAATCAGCTGTCGCCCCCATACGAACGACAACAATGAATATGAAATTGCAGTTTACAAGGCAAAAAAAGATTCATATGATAAATTTATACAAAATTCAATTAACAAACATAAAGATACTTGGAACTTACTAAACTATGAACGAAACTCTACTGGTGACCTCAAAACAATCTCCAACAACATCCAATGAATGAAGTGCCAATGAATAAATCATCAAAGAAACCATTGACTTAATGAATCACTACTTAACAGAAAATATTTTTCTCGATGTCTTTGTATAAAAATTGACTAAAATGTAAAGCTATGAGCTTTATAAATTATAAATCACATATCTTACATATTATATATAATCAAAGTTCAGTAAAAGTTCGGGAGGTGACAAAAGTGTCTCTTTCTTTTTGAATAACTTCGAAAAATTGATCAATTTCATATAAAGGATGTTTGGGTTAATATTTTCTTCAATAAGTTTTTGAATCTTCTGAATGGCAAGTTACGAAATTCGACAGATAAGGCATTGTATAGCTTAATTAGTATATTATCTGTTCTTTTCAACCTATTAGCTGTAGACAAGGTTTGATTTATTTCTTGTGTCATGTTGGTGTATATCCTTATGAGCAACTTTATTCATCAAGTTTTGTTGAACAAGAAGCAGATTTTCATAGACAATAACTGAGTATAGGGTCATTATTTTAAGTTTTGCAAATATTGGTCGACACTTTTCATCATAATTGGCAGAGATTATGCTTCTTACTGCAGATTTTTGAATGACAAATATTCTGAATATAGAATAAAGAAAATACTTTTGTCTAGTTTCTACTGTGTTTATTTATTCGTTACGACCGGTTTCGGCTTATAAGGCCATTTTCAAGTAACTACCACAAATTGTAAAGTTGCGTCTTAAATAGTGTGGACAGGTATCTGCTCTAGGTACCTGACCTAACACGTTACCAATATTACTATATGTCACAATTAACAACTATTGGATGGATCCTAAAATTCCTAAATTCAAAAGGGGCGAGCTGCATAGATCTAGTTGGTCGTTGAGCGTTATGAACTTGGGGTCCTTGTACAATTTATTTATTTCCAACGCTTCCAATAAATTCATCTCCCTTCCTTTATTACATGCATGAAGAATTTTCATGTTTCCTTTATTTATTGCATGGTTTGTTTCTTTCAGATGTCCTTATATGGCTGATTTTTTATCTGATAACACATGTTCTCGGTATCTTATGTCGAAGTTTCTGCCTGTCTGACCTGTATAAGCTGCTGGGCAGTCCCCACATTCTAGTCTGTATATGCCCGATTTTTTCCATTTATCCCTTTTGGGTTTTGCGTTGAATAACATGTTTCCTAAATTATTCTTATTAGAAAATGATGTGCTTATGTTGAGTTTTGAAAAATAGTTCTTTATATTTTCTGAGAGCTCTTCCCTGAATAACTTATGCCAGCATATTTTTTATCTTCTTTATGTTCTTCCTGATTTAGGTATAGTTCCTTCATGATCAATTTTTTGTTCTCATTGGAGATCAGTTTTTCAATTAAGTTGGCGGGAATATGGTTGTTATATGCTATCTGCTTTATGATCTTAATTTCTTCTTGAAAAGCCTCCTCTGATAACGGTATCATGAATGCTATATGTATTATAGATCTGAAGGCCAATGATTTGTGTGATAATGGACTGAAAGAATCCATTAGTATTGTACAGTCCGTGAAGGTGTTTTTTCTATAGATGTTGAACTGAAATTCATCATTGCGTTTTGTAATAGTGAGATCCAGGAAGTTAATATTGGTAACGTGTTAGGTCAGGTACCTAGAGCAGATACCTGTCCACACTATTCAAGACAGACTCAGAAGATTATTTATATCTAAATATTTTACTAGTTGTTCGTAAATTATGTGTTCAAAAATCTTTGAGAAGGTTGGCAATATTGCTATCTGTAGAAAACATTTTGGTTCGGATGTAACGCCTTTTTTATGAATTGGCATGATTTTACCAATTTTTAATTGCTGAGGGAAGTAACCTTCACTTAGACAAGTATTGATAATATCTGTTAACGGTTGAGTTATACATTCAATGTCACTCTTTATGACTAAAACATTCACACCGTTTATATCTTACATTTTCAGAATTCCTTTTTTCAGTGATATTTAAATACATTTATTGTAGAGCTCTCTTTGTCATACCTTTCACTTTCAACCATCTTGGTTATTTTAGGAATTAAATTAGACAATGTATTTTTTTATCAGTTGAGAGATTTAGAATATTCAAAAACTCATTGAAGAATATGGCAACCAAACTATATATACATACAAAATGTAACTAACCACCCTAAGACATTTCCTATTAATTCCATCAATACCCAATGCAAGTTTTCTACATACTTTCTTAACATTATCTCCATATGAATAATGAAAAAAGTACAGAGAAGTAGTTTCAAAATACGTTATAGTGTTAGAGTATCGTTTAAGTTTAACTGAAAAGACACTGCATTTGAGATTATTTCCAATTTATGTACCGTCAGTAATTTAGATGATAGTAAAAAACTATTTATCCACATTCCACTACTTTTTTAACATAACTCACCTGATCCATCACCTCCTTCTTCTTCATCTTCTGAAGAGCTACTATGATTGCTATCGAATTCCTCAGCCACATCACTTTCAGCTTGATTAGGATTGAAATCTTCATCAGTACTCTCATCTTCATCACTTTGATCATCATCATCTCTTTCTTGGGCCTCTGCTTTAACACGCTCCAGATAGGCATCAGGTGCATCTTCATCATCAGATCCACCAAAATCGTCTTTGTAAGATGCCTTGTCCTAAAAATATGGTTGAAAATATTTTACATTTCAATTTAATTGATGAAAAGGATGCCGAGAGAACCAGAAAAAATATTTTTTAATTAGAATATAGCAATATACAATATCAACTTGAAGTCAGCAAAAATCAATGAAAGGAAACTGTACTAAGATATCAACCAATCTATCAGTATTTGTGTCCATAATCTCTTCAATACCTTTGAACTAAATTTCATGAAGTAATGAATACAGAAAAAACCAATTTTCAAACCTACTGCTACTTTTGACATCAGTTTCATAATCTTCACTTTGGTTTAGAGAAAAAACTACACTGTTAAATTCAATAAAATATAGTAGTCCAGGTAGAATTCGCTGAGAATATTTCATACTTACATTTTTACCCCTATTTTTGATATTGAGCTTCTTAGATGTAATGAAATCGAAGAGTTTGGCATATTCCTCCTTCTCAATGCTGCTGAATGTATGTACGGTGCCAGACTTTACTTCAACTTCAAAATCAAAGGATCTAGTGCTTCCACCGCTTCTTGCAAAATTGACAGATGCTATTTCTTCAAAACGGATATGAATAGGTGGCTTGTGAACGTATATAAAACCTCTTTCCAGTGGGTAAAGAAAGCCTGCAGCAGCTTTGAAAGAACAACTTATCACAGGAGTGCCAGTATGTCTAGAAAAAACGTGTACAAATCAATTAAATGAGTTATTTTAAATGTCAGTAATATCGTTGCTGTATCTGTTGAATGATTTTCAAGTAAACAAGAATTATCCTGTACTTAGAATTTAGTCTTTTATACATTTTGCATCAATATTTTTTAAACATTACATCATGCAGTATTTTCTGTCAATTAAATTAGATTAATTTTTGGTGTATAAAAAAATGTATATATACACTCACGCATCCACACGTCGCTTGTGTTTTCTTTTTATCAAGCTTCGTTTTCGAGAAAAAAAATCACTTCTGAAAATTATCCATGGACAACATAAAATAAAAACCAAAAGTAAATAATAAACAATTTCGACCTTAAAGTAAATGAGCAAAATGTCCACCTTCTGATAAAATACATGAGTGCAACCGATTTGGCATTTATTGCCTAATACATTCAAAAAAACCTGGAGTATTCCTTACGACATTGCAATTGTCAATTATTCGATTCCTCATATCATTCACATCTAGTACAGGAGTTTTATAAACAAGAGCCTTCAGATGACCCCATAAATTGAAATCTAGAGGATTCATATCAGGACTGCGAGCTGGTTAATTTTGAGGTCCTGCACTTCCAATCCAGCGATTAGGGTATGTGATGTTGAGATGTTTACGAGCAAGAACAGTAAAATGGGCTGGAGCCTCGTCGTGCATAAACCACATGTTGCATAAAATGGGTAAATGATCTCGCAAGTTCGTATGCGATTCACCTGTTAATTTTGCTGGTAGAAAAAATGGGTCAATTAGGTCACCAATCATAAATGGGCTATTAGGTCACCAATAATTCCTACCCAAACGATCAGCAACAAAATTTTGCCAAAAATAACTTTCTCTAATAACGTATGCAATTCGTCCCCTCTCCCTTTAATTTGCAAGAACTCATTACGACTTACTGCGTAATTCGGTATCGCTGATTCAGTTGAGTTGATCATTAACAATGTTCAACACTTATTGCATAATTTTTTGTTGAAGGTGACTGACAATGTTTCATGATGAATTTCATTAGTTTGGATTTCCATTGTCTGATATTATAACACAATCGTGTTCGAGTGATATCATCACCCGAAGATGATTGTGGATTCTAACAATCGAAACGTCGTGAAGTAACTTAGCTTGGAATCTCTTAATTTTTCATTTTTTAATTTTTTGTTTCATTGCTCTATTTTTATTTGTATTTTATTTCACTGTAATTTCATTTCAGGGTTTTTTGCTTAATATAATTGTTATTTTCAGCTATTCTTTTTTAGTTTTTCCTTTTTTTGGTTCTATCAGGAATTTCAAAGCATTTTATATAATATCAGACAATGGAAGTCCAAACTGATGAAATTCTGCATAATTTATATTCCTTTTGCATTCTTTCCCATGTGTTCGTGTCTTTCCAAAGTGATTGTCTTATATGTATATTCTCCTCATATCCAATAAATTTTAAAATACTACTGAATATATATGATATAGGGTTTATTTGTTGAGAACTGTTTCAGCAATTTTTCAACAAATATGTTAAAGTACATTCTTTATATAGCGATTTATCGGAATCCGGGAAATAAACAATATGCTATCATGCTATCTACCAAATGTTATATGTACACCAAAATAACTATAATAAAAATGTATTTACCCAATAAATCCTCCTGGGCCAGTGAGTTTTCGGCCAATAACATGCTTCATAACATTACCTATAACTTCATAAGTAGGCCCACTTAGCTCCTTCTTCAATTTACCTTCAAACTTTTCTTTCAGCTCTTCCCTTTAATAATAACGAAATTAGATGATGAAAATAATAATTTACATATACTCACTCTGTGAATGGTAATTCAATGGACGATTCATCCTCTTGATTGAATAAAAACACCAAGAAGTGGTACCTAGTCTGACCTTGCTTTATGGGTGGATCCAAACTCACAACAAAAAACATCTGGCGACTATCTTTGTGTGGCAACAAGAATAATCTCAAAACTGTTGTCATTGGTATCTTATAATCAAATGTTTTACCATGGAGCTGAAAGAATGACTGGAACACTGTGATATCATATCGTCCACTGAAAAATAAAGAAAATAACTTCAAGATGATTGCGCAAAAAACTGATATAGTCAAATTGATTTTAATGAATTGTGAAAAATGTCATACCGCTTACATTATTATTATTATTAACTCGTATAATTAACTTGTATAATACACGTTCAGAATCAAATTTACACCAACCTTACTCTAGACTTGTAGTAGCTCAGAACTCACATAACCATGGCGGAATTAAATATTACAATGAGATAATGCACATATTGCATATATTACCACAGAAAAATCCCCAAATGAAAATGCCTTTACAGCACTGAAGAATTCTTGAATTTTTTAAATTGTCATACATTGTATGTATATAGTCAACTTTTGTGATTGTCAAATTGGGATTAAGGGATCCCCAATTGCAATTGATGATGGAAATTTCAAAACTCGTTAGTATTTATCATTAAGGCCTAATGAATATCAATCATTATTCATTTTAATCGGAGTTTAAACTTTCTCAGTCAGAGATAACTGTGTCAATGACGTTTTTCATTTTTTTGGCCGTAATCTGCAGATTTTAATGCCTGACATTTCGTATACAAATGCGTGAGGCATTATCAATGGCAATGAGAAAATGATAGTCCTCACAGCAAATACTAGTTCAAGTTTTCAGTCTCGGGCTGGTAGGCGAGGTCTTGTTTCTATTGGTTGAATTGAATGACCTTTTATGTGTACAATTTAGCACAGTTCGACTAACTTTATTAAAGGTATTTTTCCCCTTCATTACAGTTTTTGCATTTCTGAATTGCTCCCTACATAATTTCGGGTTGTAGCTGAGTTCTATTGAGCACTTGGGTCTGTTCGAATGTAACATGGGTGCCTAGCTACTTGTGACAACATGCACATGTAGAAGATCATTTAATTCAAACAGTAGAAATGAGGCTATGCCCACCACTAATAGAATAAAACCAGAGACGCAAACCATGAATATAGTATCTGTTATGAGGACAACCAGAGCACTTCATCCATTGCCTCATTAACTTGGATGTCTAATGCAGTTGTAGACAAAGCATCAGCCACAAAAACCTGCAGACTTTGGCCAAAAAACGGAAAATAGCATTAGCATATTATACACTTTATAAGAAAAAATGTAGGCACACAACTTGAAATATCAGAGATGTCTTTTAAAATTTCATTGAACTCATCAAAATTTGTTTAAATCTTCATATGGACCTATAAAAACATATCTGCCCAATGTGTTAATGTCTAATTTTCACTAATGATGATATATACAAACCGAGGTGTAAGACAGTGAATTTCTCGAAATATTGCGATTGAATCTCCAGAAATATTGATAACACTGGCTTTATCCATCACTTGTTTTTGGAAAGCTTCAACAGGGTCAACATCGCCAGCCAACTCATTGGCAGGTATAAAAAAGCGCATTTCCATTAGGCTGACAGGGGCATCGTCATTCTATTAAAGAAAAAAAAATAAGAATTTAGCAGTTTCGAAATTTACAAACATTTACCTGATGAAACTCCATAGTTATTTCATTTTTTCCTGTGGTACACTGAGACACATGATTGAGGGGTATTTCAAAAGCAGAACTAGAGCCTATATCGAAACTCAGAACAGATCCATTAAATTTGGCAGTGCCCCAATTCCACCCCTTTGTGCTGAGTTCTTTCTCTAGCATGTTAATTTTATAGGAGTTGGAGAAAAATTTAGCAATTTTTTCTTTGTCAGAATCTTTGAATCCTACAAACCTGTGCAGAATACCATTTTTCAAAAATAAACGTATTCCCCAAGTTCCAGCAAAGTTCTGAAAGTTGACAACATCAAAATCTGTAGCTGAAATTTGCTCAACTTTGCCCGTTTTGCTGTTTTTGAATACTATGTTTTGGTCAGTCATTTTCAGCTTCCCAGGCGTCTAGAAAATTATTAGTGATTATCGAAAAATGACTAAAATATAAGTTATCTTACCATGCATCCTTTAATTTCAGCAGAAACATCAGAATATTCCAAGACATCCATTTTTTACTATTTTCCGTATTTCTAGGATAGATAATAAGTTATCCTTTTCAAAAACTACTAAGTGCCAATTTCAACCCACAACCCAAAAGCATTTGAAAATATCAAGTTCTACGACAAAAAGTTAAGGTTAAAACCCGTCTAATTCCCGGCGGGATTTCTCTCTCTGGATTTCAGAAACATGAACCAATAAAACCGCTGAACACAGCTGTCACCTCTCCTCTGTCAAACAGGCGAGTAATTTCAGGACATGTTTCATAAATATCCTAATCGCCACTCAACAGAATTTTTGACAGCGGTTACCTAAGAAATATAAATATTAAAGTTGGTTTACTTTTGAACTAGACGGTTGTATATATAAAGCTGAAATTCACTGCAAAAAAGCAATGAATTTCAACTTTCAATCAACAAAATATGTCATTTACTGTCATTGAATGATTTCTCAGAGCAAACTGAAAGTTTGGTAGAAATTCAGAAAGTGTCTGGAGAAATTTGATTTTTTTGAAACTACGATTTCCACAATTTTAATGAATAATCAAATGAAAATGGTTATCAGTGCCGAAATTAAAAATAGGAAAATATCTGCTGTTACTGAAGCCTGAAGATTATTGTGATGGACCAAAACATCAATTTCCGTTTATGCGGATTAGGTGTTTTTCGCTATTAAACGACTATAATATATATATTTAGGAAAGAGCTCCCAGCTAGCAGAATAATTTTTAATTATATTTTCTGTATTTTCCCTCATCATACCCATATAAATTGAGGAGGGTAGAGGTAAGGAGAACCGTCTCTGTGTGTGAAAGTTTCCGTTAAAATGTGCTAAATAAAGTTGGATTAGTAGCAACAGCATAAATTTAAAAAAAGCGCTGAAAATTATTAGAATAGAATAGAGAAATTAAAAAAAATAAAGAAGTTCCGTCTCGTAATGGCACACTTTTCAAAATAAGAATAAAATGAAAATCGAAGTGTCATAATCAATTGATTGCTTATCATTTCTTAGGGAAGTATTACATAATTAAAATTCGCGAATCACAGTTGAAAAATAGAGAACAAAAGGTCTTGAAAAGCAAAATAATAAAAGTAAATTTCATGAATTATATCATGCCGCCACCAGAGAAGAAGCGAACTCAGCATTATCTCCTGACTCTGCAGAATTTACTTGTTTGCTCATTTGTTTTATTCAAGTCAGTCAGTAACTAGCATTCACACTGTTAATATCCCAATAGTAAAT